ACCAAGTTCCTGACACATGCTCCTTGGGGGACACCCTAAGAACTACATCAAGGCTACAGTGAGTCAAATAAGATACCTGCATTGTAAGCTCCCGCTAAGAGCCAGGGGACGGGAGTTGCTCTGCTAGCTCACCCATTTGTCCCCAGGGCTGTTGCCCTCTCCCTGGACCCCAGGCCTGGGAGCTGCCCTGCTGCCCCTGCAAGGTGAGATGCAGAAACTCATCAGCCGACAAGGAGTACCTGGGGGGACAGGGCCTGTCTCCCTCCTGTGGCTTACATGTAGTGTCCCCTGCAGCCTCATGGGTCATAGATGGGGCTCTGGGGAGGTGACTGAGCACGGGGTGTAACAGTATACAACTAAATGTGAGGTGGGGTGGTGACGTCTGGGTGGTGGAGGAGGTGGTGGTGGGGCGTGGTCCATCAGGGTCACCTCCCCAAGCTCTCTTGATCTCTCTCTACGTCCCCCTGCCTGCATGAGCAGTCCTCCTCTGCTCTGCCCCACTGCCACGGCACCCTGCCTCGCAGCCAGCGAGGCTACGGGTGAAGCCTCTACAGACTGTGAGCCAAGATAAACTCTCTAAGCTGAGGGCACCAGGTATTGCATCTCAGGGACAAGAAAGTAACTAAGACATCCCCCGGTCCCTTAGAGTGCTGGGCCAACCCAGCTGTGCACGAGTGAGGCGGGGCTTCAAAATCCACAGGACAGGCACTTTTTTGCTGGTTTCAGAAAGCAGTTTCTTCCAACACTAGCAGCAAGGAGGGCCGCACTAAGAGGGCACTCCAACACCACAGGCGAGAAGTGTGAGGTGCACACTCTTGGAAAAGCACACTAGCATTTGTGTCTAGAGCTTCGAAACACTCAGGCTCTTCAAGCAGAAATTATACTCCCAGGAATTTCCAAAGGAAATCACAGCTATGCAAAATATTTGCACAAGAGGAGTCCACAGCAGCATTCCTTACAGGAGCGAGAAACTGGAAACCCGCCTGCTCCAAGCCCAAGAGCCAGCCTGGGGCGCCCGGGTGGGGACCATCTGCAGCCCCAGTGACACGGGCCACACTCATGATGGAATTTATGCTAGTTTTGATCGCAGGGAAAAACTGCCTGTGGGGAGTGCAGGGGTGCCCCTTCGCTCTGTCTTTCCTCCCCGTCACTGCAGACAAAGACTACAACAAAAAGGAGGGATGTGAGCGAAGAGCCTCCAAGGCCCTCATGGAGGAGCATGCCAAGCCCTTCCTCCCTCCTTCCCCCAAGACCCAAAGGACTCCCCCAGATTGGCAGCCAAACTTCGTAGACCCCCTCTGAGCAAGGCGCAGCCGGAGCCTGTGCTGGCCAGTGACTGCGGGGCCTCACGCCCCGACCCTACGGGCTGAGGCCATGCAGAAAGGGCTTTCAGGCCAGGAGCAGGCACATCCTCAGCCCCCATGCGCAGCTGCACATGGGAGGTGCCAGGCAGGGCGTGGGCCAGGGCCTAGCTCAGCCCCTGGGGTGCACACAGCAGGGGTAGGCCAGGAGCCTGAGAACCAAGAGGATTCTGACTGTGAACCAGGTGAAAGTTTGTCTTTCTTTCATGTATCCCCTTAAAAAGAAGCAAAGCGCGTATTTGTGTTTTCTAGTGAAAATCTAGCTCAGGACATGCTGGCCTCTGATTTTCATCTCAACCAAAGGCCTCTGGACCACATGGGCGAGCTGATACCCAGCACAGAGCAGGTCCTGTCTGCTGGCCCCCACCACACTCCTGGTAACACCTGTCCTCCACAGAGGGGATGTCGACTGTGACACCTGATCCCAAACCAAGTGACCGCAAGGCATGCTGGGCAATTCCATGTGCCCCAGGAGCATCCCAGGTTCTCAGTACAGCGAGGCAGTCAGCTTCAACGGAATGTGACAAAGACTCACAAGGAATGGCAGGACAGAGGTGTGGGGCCAGGGCCAAAAGTTCTGCCTGGTGCCAACACAAGGGCAGCATCCTGGGCATGAGGCCACGATGCTAAAGGACCAGAGATGGGTCAGGCAGTGGGCGGGCGCTCAGTCAGAGGAGCCTAAGGCAACAGACAAGGAAGAAGCAGCCAGGGAAGGCTTGGGCAGGGAAAGAAGGGTCCTCGGGGCAGACTGAGGAGGAGCTAGCAGAACACTGAGAGGCACAACGGGGGGGGAGGGAGGGGGGGGGCTTCTGGAACCTGAGGTGACTTCAGGGAGGACAGGGTGTGGTGGGGAGGATGAGGATGAGGCCCCAAGGGGACACACACCATCAGCAGAGACTGCCGGTTCTGCCCCTCCCACAGGGAATGCCGTCCTTCCAAGGAGACTCTAGGCCCATCAGGGTCTCCCAAAGGTGCCCTGCCACAGAGAAAGTGAAATGGGCCCAGGACCCTGGCCACGATGGCCCACAAGCCACATGGGGCCCCCAATGCCCTCTGTGGCTCCAGATGGCACCTACAGAATTTCAATAGCACGTCCAGGCCAACTCAGATATTACTCTCACCGTTTCTCTGGTGTCACTTCAGGGAGCACCACCATCCAGACCTCTGAGACTCGGGCACAGCCTGGGGTGCTGACAGACTCTAGCTAAAGCAGCTGCCAGTCCCCTCCCACTCTAGCTGCTGCCTAGGGCTGCCACCCCTCCCCACAGCACACCAGCTGTCCTTCCCGGGTGCTCTGACAAGGCCAACAGGTGAGGCAGCCTCCGCAGCAGAGGGCCACAGTACAACTGCCAGTGCTTGCTTGCATGCACGGCCCTCCCTCTACCAAGGCAGGAGGAAGCAGCAGCTGCTGGAGATCCAAACCACATCCGAGGGAGCCTCAGAAACCTGTCCTTCTCCATGTGCCGTCTGAATGTGTGCCCAGCTCCGAGCAGCCTGACTGGACGTCAAGCTGCAAGAGGGCAGGAGCTCCCTGGAAGGTTCCAGAAGTGTGCCTCAGGGCAGGGACACATCTGTTCAAGCCCTGCAATGCCCTGGGTATGTGGACAAGGGGCAGAGAGGGTCCTGGCCCAAGGGGCTGTTCCACAGGACCTAGGAGGGTGGGGAAGACACAGGAGAACGACGGCCATCCTGCCATGTGGGTGTGACCCTTTGCCTGGAAAGTAGGTCCTGAGGGTCCCTGGGGGGATGGGGAAGCACAGCCTGACTCCTGCAGCACAGAGACAGCACAGGGAGGTCACTCTCAGGGTACAACCCACATGAACACGCACAAACTCAACACACCCTCAGCCTCTTCTGGGCTGGCTTACCACAAATGCCATCTATAGTATGAAGGAGAAAAGACGGGGAAATGTGGGAGGCGGGTGGACAAGAGGGGCTCCAGAGCCCTCCCCCACCTGGCCCATGTGCTTCTGAGCCAGCGCTGTCCAGGCCGAGGCTGGTGGTCAGTGATGTGAGAGGCAGCGAGGCCATGGTGCACCCAGGGCATTTGTATTCCCTGACCCCCATCTGGGGAAGTCGTGCTGGGGCCTCCTCGAAGCACAGCAGCACTGTGGCCACTGCCCTTTCTGCTCTAGGGATGGTGTCTGGAGAAGGGACTTGGAGCTCTTCCCTTAGGGAGACCAGGGGGTACGGAAGGGCACCCTGGCACACATCTGGGGCCCAGCCTCCAGATAGCCCTCCCTACCCCACCCCACCCCCACTCCCAGCAGAAAGGAGGCGCCCTCCTGGCCACGCAGCCAGCAGACCAGTGCGGGTGTGAGATCTGTGACCACCAAAGGAGGCCTAACCACCACCTCTCAGGCTGCAACTGCTGGGGACAGGGGACAACTGGGGAGGCATGGTGTATGTCCCCAACTCCAGGACCCTAACTGCCTCTTTCCTTTTTCCTTTTAATTGTGAGTGGTGCTGAGGTCTGAAAGCAAGGGATGCTGAAACGACAGCCCCAGCCTCTTGACTTTTCCTTGTTCCGACACAAGGTCTCACTATGGCGCCCTTCAACGTGCCAGCCTTCCGTCTCAGCTGCTGAGTAGTGAGGATTACATGGGTGTGCACGATGCCTGGAAGGATCTCAATTTTCTGAGTGGAGAAAGACCAAAGGACGGGCTGCTGGGGGTGTGGTGGCTGGCCTGCTCAGCTCCAGCCCAACTTGAGGGGACCTCACTTCCACCTCAGAGTCCACACCTCCAGTCCGGATGGAGATCAGTGGGTGGCACACGAGCCTCCACAAGGCAGTCGGGTGGAGGAGCAACAAAGCCAGGGTAGAGGCCACCCTCCTGCTCTTTCCCAGCCTGGACAGCTTGGGAGGAAGGCACTCCAGGGGTGTCTCTGCAGGACTCGTGGGTACAACAGGAACAGGAGTAAGTGGAGGAAACAACCCCAACTTGAACTGTGAGAGGCTCAGCACTGCCCTGGGTCCAGGGCTTCCAGGAAGGTTGCCTCAGCCCTCTCCCTGCAACAGGCCAGGCCCATGGCCCCACTCCCACCCGGCATGGAGGGGGAGGTAGAGTGGAGGAGGAGGGATGAGGAGCGGGGGCAAGTGCACCCTGAAGGAAGGTGTGTGGTTGCTCAGGTACACCCACCCAGGCCTGTGGGTCTGGAGGACGGACGGTGGCCCCGACCCAGACACCTTTGTTCCTCCTTGCTGGTGGGAGGACAGGTGAAACTGCCTTCTCTCTGCCCCCCCGCCGGGTCACACTAGGCCTTTGTTCTACCTGCACACACCGGCAGGCTCCTCCCACCCCCTACCGGCCTGCAGGCAGCCACGGGGGGGGGGGGGACCCTGAGTGCAGGGACAGGGACCTCACTTCTTGCATTCCATTTTGACACAGAGCGGTGCAGGGAAGCAACCCCCCCAGTTGTACCTCTCTGGAACCTGCTTCCCCGCCCAAAGATCCACGGGACTCTAAAGCGGCCAGCCTGGAGCCAAGGCCCCGGCGGGCCGTGGGTTGGGAGGAAGCCCCTGCACTGTGCAGTCAAGCCGGCAAGGCATAGACCCAGAGGCCGAGGAGGTCAGAGGGCAGCGATGGCAGCTGTGGCGCCGCCGGTGGGGCCGCGGGGGCACTGGGACGACGCGCTCACCTGGGCGTGCGCAACGCGGCGGGGTCGCGGCGGTCCAGCACGCCAGGCACGCAGTTGGTGAGTTCGGTCCAGTCGGCGTGCAGCCCGCAGCTCCAACCCGTGGAGAAGCGGGAGAAGAGCCAGGTCTCGCGGCGGTTGGGCCGGTAGCAGGTGCACTTCTTTTGGCCGGGCCGGCAGTCGCAGGGCACCTCCAGGCGTACGTTCTGCACCAGGTGGCGGCCGAAGGTGGTTCCGCCGGTCTTCTGGATATGCAGGAAAACGATCACGTCGTCGCCCTTCATGTCGAAGCGCAGCGAGCGCTCGAGCTCGCGAACCGGGAAGTAGTACTTCTTCTCGTAGTGCGGGTCCGGCGTGGGGAAGAGGTCCAGGTCGTCGGGCGGCGCGCGGCCGCCGGGCGCGCCCAGGCTCAGCCCCGGGCCCGCGTACTGGTACAGGATGAGCATGAAGCACGCCGAGCCCGCCACCACCAGCAGGAACTTGCTGGCGCGCTCAACCATGGTCCTGCCGCCGGCGCGCCGCCGCCGCATGTGTCACCATCGCCGGCCGCCCGGGGTGGGCGCGCGGCGCGGAGGGCGGGGGCGC